AATTTGTTTGCGCTTAATAAATAATAATAATAATACGTTCATTGACTTTGTGACATAGCAGTGATGATATCACTACTGAGTATGGACAGATGTGATGTAGCTTGACTCCAGTTGAAGATTACTACAGCCAGCAACTGCCTCCCCTGACTGATGTTAACTCAATTGTTCTGGAGTATTATGTACTACAACCTCTAACAAACCAGTGTATTCTCATCCACATGAAATAAAATAAAATAAAATGGTGCTTTAATGAAAGATCCCACCAGGTGTGCGAAGTTCCAAAGATATTCTTGTGCATGTGCAACAAGTTTCCAATAGGTATCTATTACCTTTGGAGTTTGCCATCAATTGGACATTCTGATAGGTCTCTAAAAGCAATGCCTTCTGGGACAAATATAGACATCCCTATGCCAACTATCCACGTCTCATAAAAATTACTGAGCAACCCTCACTGTGCTTATCCAGAGTTCTTAAACCCCTGGACAATGTCCCCGTTTAACTAGAGTGATCTGCAATCACTGCAAACATGATTTTTGGTTTATTACGACTTTTATTTGCAAGATTTGCAAATAACAAAAGGTCAACAATAAAATGATTAGTAAACATCAGCAGACAACCTATAATAATATCTGAATAATATCCTCTCTGGGAGATTTCAGCACGCTCACAGGAAAACCCAGAACACAGTGTGATCCGTTTAACAGTTCAAATGTGACTAAGAAACCCAAAATCGTCTAATAAACAAACACAAAGTGTGTAAAAATAGCACCACAGATAAGGGGAAAGGAAGAAAAATAAAATTAAAGGGGAGGTAAAAACAGCATCAGAAGTGGTGAATACAATTTCTAATTTTAAATGTACAATTTATACACATTATTGTATAATCATATTGTTTATATAAATGGTGCAGATTAAATCTTCTGTTTGTGCAAAATCACGCCATTAGACTAAAGGAATCAGTGACGTAACATATCAGTCCAATAATTAGAAAGGCCATTAGTGTCGACAGCACTTAAACTAGTGAACATCCGTCCCCGAATCTCAGGATTTTACTTAAAGAGACTCAATCATCAAAATTTTGTATAATCATATTTACTTTTAAACACAATCTTAAGTGGTGCAGTCCTGCTTCCTGCTATAGACAAGTGAATATTTGAATGCAGTTCAACGTTGTTGTTTTGATGGATAAGGTCTTACATTAATATTCCTTGTGACCAAATTGTAATCGACAACAGCACACAGTAATCACTAGTTTGGATTAACCAGAAGACTTATGTATTTTCGAGAAGCGTATTTTCCTCGGGAATAGAACATTGCGTAAGAAAAGTTTGTGCAATTTCGACCTTCAGTTTGCCGTCTCTTTTTCTGTCCCACTCGACAGTTGATGCTTGTGGATTTAAGTACTTTTCAAAAAAGATGCCTTTAAATATGGCTGAATTTGAGATTGTAGCACGTTTCAGGAATAATATATATTTTAACTTATGCACAGTCAGGACTAGATATGCCTAAAGCTGAAATGGGATTTGCAAGTATTACGCAACAAAGTTTTTCCAAATCTCACAAAAGTAGATTAGGTCACAATACTCAAATACTGTGCTATATTGATTTATACACTTAAAGGACCACTATAGTGCCAGGAAAGCACTATAGTGCCCTGAGGGTGCCCCCACCCTCAGGGACCCCCTCCCACCGGGCTCTGGGAAGAGGAAGGGGTTACACTTTCCTCTTTCTCCAGCGCCGGGTGGGGAGCTCTCCTCCTCTTTGGCTGAATGCGCATGCGCGGCAGGAGCTGCGCGCGCATTCAGCCAGTCTCATGGGAAAGCATTCATAAGTGAGAAGCACGCAAACGCCTCTAGCGGCTGTCAATGAGACAGCCACTAGAGGCTTTAGAGGCTGGATTAACCTATTTATAAACATAGCAGTTTCTCTGAAACTGCTATGTTTATAAAAAAAATGGGTTAACCCTATAGGGACCTGGCACCCAGACCACTTCATTAAAGGACCACTATAGTGCCAGGAAAACATACTCGTTTTCCTGGCACTATAGTGCCCTGAGGGTGCCCCCACCCTCAGGGCACTATAGTGCCCTGAGGGTGCCCCCACCCTCAGGGTCCCCCTCCCGCCGGGCTCTGGAAAGGGGAAAGGGGTTAAAACTTACCTTTTTCCAGCGCTGGGTGGGGAGCTCTCCTCCTCTGATCCTCCTCCGTTCTGCCCCGTCGGCTGAATGCGCACGCGCGGCAAGAGCTGCGCGCGCATTCAGCCGGTCACATAGGAAAGCATTCACAATGCTTTCCTATGGACGCTGGCGTGCTCTCACTGTGAAAATCACAGTGAGAAGCACGCAAGCGCCTCTAGCGGCTGTCAATGAGACAGCCGCTAGAGGAAATAGAGGAAGGCTTAACCCATTCATAAACATAGCAGTTCTCTGAAACTGCTATGTTTATGAAAAAATGGGTTAACCCTAGCTGGACCTGGCACCCAGACCACTTCATTAAGCTTAAGTGGTCTGGGTGCCTAGAGTGGTCCTTTTAAGCTGAAGTGGTCTGGGTGCCTAGAGTGGTCCTTTAAATGATCCAGAAAAGTCTTCAGATAGCATGTTTAGGGATTTCATTAGGGAAAGGAAAGGCAATGGCGTACTAAGGGGGGGCGGTCCGCCCCGGGTGCCAGCAGGGTGGGGGGTGCCTTGGGAGGGGGCACCAGCCCCCCCATGCTGCAGCCGCCCGAGCGCTCTGTAGAGAGCCTCAGGCAGCTGCAGCTTTGCCCGGGCGGTGCGTCCATGAGGTCGGACCGCCCGGGCGCAGCCTGAGGAGAGGGGCTGACAGGAGGGAAGCACTCAGTGCTCCCTCCTGTCACTCCCTCTGTTGTAGCGTGGCCGAGCCCAGTATAGTCTGCGGGTACAGGGAGCAGCTGTCTCCTGTACCCGGCTGGACTAAAAGGAAGTGCACACTCAGTGTGCACTTCCTTTTAGTCCAGCCGGGTACAGGAAACAAAAGCTCCCTGTACCCGTGGACCATAGAGCCGGCCACACTACAACAGTGGTAAGGGGAGGGAAAGAAATTAGGGATGAGGTGGGGGGGGAGAAAGAAATTAGGAGGAGGTGGGGGGAGAAAGAAAGGGAGGAGATGGGGGGGAGAAGAAATTAGGGGAGGAGGGGAAGAAAGAAAGATTTGAGGGGGGGAGAAGAAAGATTGGGAGGAGGGGGGATAAAAAAGATTGGGAGGGGGGGAGAAAGAGATTGGGAGAAGGGGGAGAAAGAAAGATTGGGAGGAGGGGGGAGAAAAAGAAAGATTGGGAGGAGGGGGGAGGGGGGAGAAAGAAAGATTGGGAGGAGGGGGGAGAAAGAAAGATTGGGAGGAGGGGGGGAGAAAGAAAGATTGGGAGGAGGGGGGGGAGATTGACATTCATCACACACACAGATTGGGAGGAGGGGGGGGCACAGGATCCGCCCCAGGTGCCAAATGCTCTAGGTATGACCCTGAGGAAAGGTATAGACTTTTCACATTTATTATATCTGAACTCTTGAGCAGAGGGTAGCAAATTATTTTTCTATTTGCTCTGTATTTATTATTGACTGCTGATTTTGACTATAAAGGTACAATACTACTTGTCCATAATTCCCTGTTTGTCTAAAACCTCTACATAGGTTGACAAATTGAGGAGAGGAAACCCACACAGAGGTTCACTCCTCAAATTAGATTGCATGTATTAGTTAGTTGAAATTACTTTATTGTATATATAGCACATCAAATCAAGTGTTGTGTGAAACCAACAGATGAAAATATTTATAAAATCCTAAGGGCTATATTTCATCGGAAACTCGTCTTTTTAATGGGATAAATGCCACGCACCATCTAAAAGCATGTTAAAAATGATACAACATAAATAAAGCACAAGCAAAGAGTAAAACATATTACAAGAGAGATGATAAATTCTAGAGGTAATTAAAGGGAGGGCTAAGCATGAGACTACTAAAATACTGGTCACATAAAGAATATCTTCTGGCCTCAATTTAATATTTTTCGATTAGTTTTCCAAATGATTTAATATATTTAGATCAACTTAATTTTTTTTTGTTTCAACATAGTAAGATATATATATAAAAAAATTATATAAAAAAATATCAAAATATTACAAAATTAGCCAACAGTATTAAAATCGAAAAAAAATAAGTTTTCTCCAGTATTGGTGTTCTCTGAACTTTTGATCACGTTGAAGGCCCTTTGTACCCACAAAAAAAAAAAAAAAATCCCCACAAACACAGATTTTGTTCTTTTCATTTATTTTATTTTTTATTTTTAAACAACTCCCCCACCGCACCCAATAAAAAAATACCACAAAGTTTGAGGTTTCCCAGTCCACCAATGCTTCCAAGATTCAAGCGATGTCAGCGGAGATACAAAAACTACAATACCAGACGATGTGACTGCAAGGTTTTCTGACCCATCAATCCAAATATAGCACAATGGTGCTGTACAGTGTTATGCATCATTGAATATTTCAGCTGATACAACTCTTACAGCTGGCAACATATGCCGTCTGGAAACGTCAAGATGATCTTTTGAAATAATTGAGAGAGTTTTAGGTGGGGCTGTTTTCACAGATGTTCCGAACTCCCTGTGCTGATTTCGTAATAGAACTTAATGCCCTTCAAATATCACGGTTCACACGAAGGTCAAGTAAACTTATTCATTAAGAACTAAAGAGACAAACGACTGTTTTCCAGGAATCTTCAGCATTTATAACATGCAATTATATCGTTGTGCAGAGATAGGGTGGTCAGGTAGGGTGAACCACTAAACGATTTTCTACGGCCAAGAGTTCATTTACTAATGTATACGATCTGCTCAAGTAAGTCATTTATTTAAATTGTGTGATCGTCATCTTCGCTTACATTTGCAATATTTAAAGGGACACTATAGTCACAAAAACTATTTTATCTTAATGAAGCAGTTTTGGTGTACAGATCATTTCTAGGACCTTTAGGAATTAAGTCATGGGAAGCCGAAAGAGCTCAGTTGGGAAGAGTGTTAGACTGAAGATTAAAAGGTCTCTGGTTCAATCCCGGGTTTTGGCATTGGTTGCAGTGTCCCATGACTCACTTTAACCATTTAAGGACACGACATGTGTGACATGTCATGATTTCCTTTTATTCCAGAAGTTCGGTCCTCAAGGGGTTAATTGGGCAGATGCTATAGTGCCAGGAAAACAAACCCGTTTTCCTGGCACCGTACGCTCTTGGAGTGCTCCCCTACCTCGGCCACTGTCCTTAATCCAGCGATGGGTTTCCTTGGCGCTGGTGACCTCTCCTCCCCCACCATCAGCTCCCGAGTGGAGACGAATGCGCATGCTCAATGATCTTATTTGTCGCTGGACTCGGTGAGGACATCCAGCATCAAATAAGTGCGATTTACTCAGTGTAAATTGCAGAAGTGCCTCTAGTGGCTGTAAGGGAGACAGCCACTATAGACTGGATTAACCCTGCAGTGTAAACATAGTTTTCAGCTGCAGGGTTAAAACAAGGGGTTAAAACTATAGTGGTCCTTTAAAGGAACACTATAGGGTCAGGAACACAAACATGTATTCCTGACCCTATAGTGTTAACACCACCATCTAGCCCCCCTGGGCCCCTCATGCCTCCATAAATATAGTAAAAATATTACTGTATTCAAGCCAGAAGCTTTAACTCAACTAAAAAACCCCAAAACAAACAGTCTGCTGACATAATCAGAAGTGGTGGCTTGATCCAATCACAGTGCTTCCCCATAGGATTGGCTGAGACTGACAAGGAGGCAGATCAGGGGCAGAGCCAGCCTGATTCAAACACAGCCCTGGCCAATCAGCATCTCCTCATAGAGATGAATTGAATCAGTGAATCTCTATGAGGAAAGTGTGTCTGCATGCTGCCCTGTGCTCTGCTGACGGCAGATCTGAGTGGATTGAGGAGTTTTATGCCTCAATCAACTAGGAAGTCCCTCTGGTGGCATTCTGAGTGACTGCAACTGGAGGTGTTCCTAGCTTTCAATGTAAACACTGTATTTTCTCAGAAAATACCGTGTTTACATGAGAAAGGCTGCAGGGAGCTATAGTTCTCACCTGAACAACCTCATTACATCTGATTGAAAGTGAAACCATTCTTTTTTTTCATGCAGGCTGTGTGTACCACCCCCGGGTTAGCCCCCCCCCATATTGAGAATTTTAACAAAAGATTATTCCATTTGTTAGATCAGGTTTGATCAACAATTTTTTTCGTTAGATCTACTCTAAAATATGCGATATTAACAATCATTGACAGGGGGGGCTAACCCGTAGCCAGCCCCCCTCAACAAAAATTTGTAGAAAATGTTGTTGATTATGGTAGCTCTACGTTAGATCAGGCAAAATGTTTGTTAGATCTAGTCTAATTACTGAGATATTGCATATATAATTAGGGGGGGCTGGCCCCCCCTCAACCGAAATTTGGACAAAATGTTACTGATTTTGGTAGCTATTAGTTAGATCAGGTTTGATCAACTGTTTTTTTCGTTAGATCTATTACGCAAGAGGCGGTATTCACTACTTAACTTTGTGGGCGTGACTACGAGTTAGCCCCCCCTCAAGTGAAATTTTAATTTTTTTTTTTTGATTTTGGTAGATATTCATTAGATCAGGTTTGATCAACTGTTTTTTTCGTTAGATCTATCACGCAAGAGGCGGTATTCACTACTTAACTTTATGGGCGTGACTACGGGTTAGCCCCCCCTCAAGTGAAATTTAAAAAAATTTTTTTATTGATTTTGGTAGACATTCGTTAGATCAGGTTTGATCAACTGTTTTTTTTCGTTAGATCTATCACGCAAGAGGCGGTATTCACTACTTAACTTTGTGGGCGTGACTACGGGTTAGCCCCCCCCTAAAGTGAAATTTTAATTTTTTTTAATTGATTTTGGTAGATATTCGTTAGATCAAGTAAGATCAACTGTTTTTTTCCGTAAGATCTATCACGCAAAAGGCGGTATTCACAATCTTATTTTAATTTTGCACATAAATACCAGTAAATTTTCATATCAAGCCACAGGTGACATCATAATTTAGGAATTTGCTTGGATTTGCTAACACAATGTGTAGATCATTTTCAATATTTTTTTTTATTCTCTACATGCACAGTATTGAGGTGATAAAGTCCAGCATATGCCCAGCCTGAACTTATTAGTGATATTTGAATACAGTTGCAAGAAAAAGTATGTGAGCCCTTTGGAATGATATGGATTTCTGCACAAATTGGTCATAAAATGTGATCTGATCATCATCTGAGTCACAACAATAGACAATCACAGTCTGCTTAAACTAATAACACACAAAGAATGAAATGTTGCCATGTTTTTATTGAACACACCATGTAAACATTCACAGTGCAGTATGTGAACCCCTAGACGAATGACATCTCCAAGAGCTAATTGGAGTGAGATGTCAGCCAACTGGAGTCCAATCAAAGAGATGAGATTGGAGGTGTTGGTTACAGCTGCCCAGGTCAGTAGTAATTCTTGACCATTCCTCTTTACAGAACTGTTTCAGTTCAGCAATATTCTTGGGATGTCTGGTGTGAATCGCTTTCTTGAGGTCATGCCACAGCATCTCAAACGGGTAGAGGTCAGGACACTTCAGAAGGTGCATTTTCTTCTGTTTAAGCCATTCTGCTGTTGATTTATGTCTATGCTTTGGGTCATTGTCCTGTTGCAACACCCATCTTCTGTTGTGCTTCAGCTGGTAGACAGATGGCCTTAAGTTCTCCTGCAAAATGTCTTGGGAATTTGGGAATTCATTTTTCCTTCGATGATAGCAATCCGTCCAGGCCCTGACGCAGCAAAGCAGCCCCAAACCATGATGCCCCCACCAGGCCCGGACTGGCCATCGGGCACACCGGGCAAATGCCCGGTGGGCCGCGGTGGCCGTGGGGCCGAGGCCGGCAGGGAGATCACAGGATCTCCCCTGCCGGTCTATGCAGGGCCGGCACTCTCCTAGCGCCGGCCCCGCTGTTTGTCACGACGGGCCGGTGGGGAGATCAAAGATCTCCCTGACCGGCCCACATGCGGCCGCCGGCGGGGAGGGAGCCAGCCAGGCTGGAGAGAGGACCCGGCGGAGCTCTAACTTGCAGCTCCGTCGGGTTCCTCTCGCGAGATCCGGCGCGTTGCCATGGCAACGACCGGATCTCGCGAGAGTGAACTCTAGCCTCACGGGCTAGAGTTCACTCACCCACGAGGACCACCAGGGAACACCGCGTGCCGGACCCCCCCTCCCAGTCCCAGCGTGCCGGTCCCCCCCCCCTCCCATGCTAAAGGTAAGAAGGGAGGGGGGGAAATAATGACTTTTTTTTATTTTTATTTTATTTACCCCCCCCTACACACACACACAATAACATTTATACAGCACTCTCACACCCATCACACACAGCACTCTCTCCCACAGCACTCTCACACCCATCACACACAGCACTCTCTCCCACAGCACTCTCACACCCATCACACAGCACTCTCACACAGCACTCTCACCCATCACACACAGCACTCTCACACACATTACACACAGCACTCTCACACACATTACACACAGCAATCTCTCACACAGCACTCTCACACCCATCACACACAGCACTCTCACACAGCACTCTCACACCCATCACTCACACCCAGCACTCTCTTACCCATCACACACAGCACTCTCACACCCAGCACTCTCACACCATCACACACAGCGCACTCTCACAGAGCACTCACACACACACAGCACTCTCACACCCATCACACACAGCACTTTCACACACACACAGCACTCTCTCACAGCACTCTCTCACAGCACTCTCTCACAGCACTCTCACAGAGCACTCTCACACCCATCACTCACACACGGCACTCTCACACCCATCACTCACACACGGCACTCTCACACACATCACACACACACCGCACCCTCACACACACACATACACCGCACCCTCACACACACACATACTGCACCCCTCACATACACACAGAACCCCCCAACACACTGCACCACACACATACACAATACTTCCAAATATATATATATATATATATATATATATATACACACACATATACATATACATACACACACACACTACACTCTTAAAGGACCACTCTAGCCACCCAGACCACTTCAGCTTAATGAAGTGGTCTTGGTGCCAGGTCCTTCTAGGGTTAACCCATTGTTTTATAAACATAGTTTCAGAGAAACTGCTATGTTTATCAATGGGTTAAGCCTTCCCCCAAAGCCTCTAGCAGCTGTCTCATTGACAGCCGCTAGAGGCGCTTGCGTGCTTTTCACTGTGAAAATCACAGTGAGAGCACACAAGCGTCCATAGGAAAGCATTATAAATGCTTTCCTATGCGACCGGCTGAATGCGTGCGCAGCTCGTGCCGCGCGTGCGCATTCAGCCGACGTGGCGGATCGGAGGAGAGCTCCCCGCCCGGCGCTGGAAAAAGGTAAGTTTTAACCCCTTTCCAGAGCCGGGCGGGAGGGGGTCCCTGAGCCACATATGCATCACATTACACCACAAACACAACACGACTAAAGCCGACCTTATTACACAATACCACACCACGACCAGCTCACTCTACACACACGCAATACCACAAGCAGGCTCCAAACACATGCACAATACTCTGTCCTGGCCCTTTGTCTCCTGGTATCCATTTATAGAGACACCAGAGACAAGTTGCAAGGAAACACAGTGCAAGCATGTTATTAAATTTGCTTGCACTGTGCAGAACAAATACAGGACTTTTTTCTCATGCTAGAGCTCTTCAGCAGAGCTCTGCGCATGGTCTGCCCTGGAAGAGCATTGAACCAACATGCTCACTTTGAGATGAGGCGTGTTTGTCATTGGTGATGACAAAACACACCTCCTCTGCCCCGCCCCCTTTTTAGTGGGCCGCTGTGTTAAAAAAATGCCCGGGCCGAATTTTTCTCCCAGTCCGGCCCTGGCCCCCACCACCATACTTCACAGTTGGGATGAGGTTTTGATGTTGGTGTGCTGTGCCTCTTTTTGCCACATATAGTGTTGTGTGTTTCTTCCAA